GTTCACACAAAAACCTGTGCATGAATTTTTATGGTAGATTTATTTGTAAGGTTCAAACTGGAAACAACCCAGATGTCCTTCAATAGGTGAATGGTTAAACAAGCGGTGGTATATCCAACCATGGAATAGTATTCAGCTATACAAAGGAGCAAGCTACTAACACATTTGACAACTTCAATAAATCTCCAGGGAGTTATGCCGAGAGAAACAAGTCAATCTCAAAAGGCTACCTATTGTATGATTCCACTTACAAAAGTTTCTTGAAGGGACAAAACCATAGAGGCAAGTTAGTCGTTAACCAGAGGTTAAGGATGGAGGGGTGTGGTGTGTGTGCAGGAGGGAAGTGGGTGTGGCTACAAAACGGCAACACAAGGGACCCTTGTGATGATGGAAATGTCCTATGTCTTATTTACGTCAGTGTTAATATCCTGGTTGTGACGTTGAACTACAGTTTTGCATCATGTTACCACAAGGGAAAACTGTTTGTAAAGGATGCATGGGATCGCACCATATTCTTTCCACTGCATGTAAACCTGCAATTACCTCAAAACAAAAAGTGAAAAAAACGGTTTAAAAAGTCTTGAACTCAATAAATCAACTACTTAATTTCCTCTATGAAATAGCAGCGTCACACATTGGTGAGGTAAAGCGTTATCCCTGTGGGATGCAGAGGTGATTCAACTGCCTATTGCTATATAACAAACGACCTCAAAATATAGTGGCTTGAAACAACCGTTATTTTGTTTTTACCGTTCTCTGTCAGGAACTTAAGCTCGTCTGGGCAGATATTTTAATCCACGTGTTGTCGGTTGGTGTCATTCACTTGGGGGCATTCAGTAGCAGAGGCTGGGCCAGAAGTCTTAAGAAGTCTGGTGCCGCATGGTCAGCCGAGTTTCCTCACAGCGTGGTGGTCACGGGGTAGTCGGACTTTCGAGAGGAATTAACACGAATTGGTAAACACTGAAGCCACAGATCTCTTAAGTCCCAGACTCGGAAGTTACAGCATCATTTCTGAAACATTTTATTGGTCCTGACAAATCTCAGCTCAGACCGAAGGGGAGAGAAAATAGCCTCCAACTTTCAGTGTGAGAAGGAGTAAAGAATTTATGACCATCTTACCCCACCCTTGGGGGAGATTGTTTAATTCTTCAAAAAAAAAAAAAATGTTTCTATGTAGGAAGTTTTTAAGAATTATATATCCACATTAAAAAATTTTTTTTAACGTTTATTCATTTTTGAGAGACAGAGGCAGAGTATGAGCGGGGAAAGGGCAGAGAAAGAGAGGGAGACACAGAATCTGAAGCAGGCTCCAGCCTCTCAGCTGCCAGCACAAAGTGCAACGTGGGGCTCGAACTCATGAACTGCGAGATCATGACCTGAGCCGAAGTCGGACGCTCAACAGACTGAGCCACCCAGGGACCCCTATTCACGTTTTTAAAAATAAATATTGAGTTGTTCAAGTTTCTTTTTTTCTTAAAGGGTTTTGACACCATTATTTTAATTTAATTTAATTTAATTTAATTTAATTTAATTTAATTTAATTTAATTCAAGTTTCTTATTTTATCCTGTCAGTTTTTGTTGTTATGTTCTCTAACTTAAGATAAAATCTTGTCTATTTTATCTAAGTTGTCAAATTCATTGGCATAAAGCTGTTTGTAATACCGCCTCATTATCATCCTAATGTTGGTAGGATCTGTAGTCACATCCTCTTTCCCAAATCTGTAGCCTTCATTTCTATTTTTGTTTTTTTTTCTTGATTAGTTAGCTAGGAGTTTATCAATTTTATTAATCTCAAAGAACCACCTTTTGGCTCATATTTCAAGGATTTTGCTTTTTTTACATATCGTATGTTCTGGAGAGCTTTCCAAATTAGTGAATACAGATTTACCTCATTTTTATTAATTGCTGTCAAGGCATTTCATATTATGGGGGTATCAGAATTTATTTAATCATGGGCATTCTTATTTCGTTTTCTTTTTCTTCTCTTTCTTTTCTTCTTCTTCTTCTCCTTCGTCTTACTATTAAAATACTGAAACATCCTTTTATGTATCTCTATACACACATGAGAGGGGCTGGGCTTCCAGAAATTAAATTGCTTGGTCAGAAGGTATATTCATTTTACATTTTTTAAACAGGTCACTTCCAAACTGTTTTCCAAACGGCTGTATCAATTGGCACTCCCATGGACTGGGTGGAAGTATTCCCCATCGACCCAGGTTCTTGCCAATATTTAGTACCATGAACCTTTTTTAGTTATGTCATCATGGTTTGAATTTCCATTCTCTTGATCCCAGATGAGTATAGGCATCTTGTGTCTGTTCATGACTTGAGAGTTTTTTGAGAAGGATTTTAAAAATCTATTTTATATTTTTTTATTATTTAACTCTTCTTTATATATTGAAGACATTAAACCCAGGTCTGTTTCAACTTTTTGCATTGCGTTTCATTGCGTGCCTTTTTTTTTTTTCCCACACAGAAACTTTAAATTTTGATGTGGTTATATTACTTGCTCTTTTCCTTTATGGCCTGGCATTTGTATCTTGCTAAAGAAGGCCTTTTATCTGCTTTTGAAGAGTTCAACTGACATTCATTGGCTACTCAGAGTCTCTTGTCTCTGGAGGGCAATTCTACCGCTGAGTTCTAGAATCCCTCCCTTAGGTGACCATGGCCCGCTTCCGCCACCCCACCATGGTAGAGCTCTTGATCCCTCGTCCTTCATACCAAATTTTGACATCTGTAACAGCTTGCTCCCTCATCCATCCCCTCCCTCTATACACACCTTGAAAACAACTTGGGACCATAGGACACCAGAAGGAATATAGAAAATCATCCAGTTTCAAACTCTCATTTTCATAGATAAGGAGTATACAATCTAGACCTTGCTGTCCAACATGGTAGCCATTGGCTACATGTGGGTTTTTAAGTTTAAGTTAATTAAAGTAAAAAACTCAGTCACACAAACCAAATTTTAAATGCTCTATAGCTACACGTGCCTCATGGCTACTTTACTGGACAGTTAAGATTTAGACTGTTTCCCAAAAAAATAAATAAATAAATAAATAAATAAATAAAAAAGATTTAGACTGTTTCCATCACTGCAGAAAGTTCTAGTGGCTGCTCTAGAGCTTTGTTATTTAAAGGGCCGTGTGCTGACCCATATAGCAAGACCAGAGGCATCACTGGGAGCTGATTAGAAATACAGAATCGCGGGGTGCCTGGGTGGCTCAGTCGGTTAAGCTTCTGACTTCAGCTCAGGTGATGATCTCACAGCTTGTGAGTTCAAGCCCTGCATCAGACTCTGTGCTTACAGCTCAGAGCCTCCAGCCTGCTTCAGATTCTGTGTCTCCCTCTCTCTGTTCCTCCCCCACTTGCGCTCTCTCTCTCAAAAATAAATAAACATTAAAAAAAAAAAGAGAGAGAATCTCAATTAATAATCAGGCCACATACCAGACCTACAGAATTGGAATCTGCAATTAAAAAATATCCCCCAGGAAGTTTGCATGCAGGTTAGAGTCTAAGAAGCCCTAATCATGTGATTTTTTTTTCCCTTAAGGTCAAAACAGCTGATGTCCAGGCCCTTCCCTTGACCCAGGCACCATTTCCCTTACTATCCTATGTCCTTCTTATTATCTCCCTACCATACTCACTTTCTCACTTTGTTTAATTACAGCACTTTATAAACATGTATAAGTCAGCAAGGCCATTGGGGCCCTCGGAAAACCCTCCATGCCTCAGCCTCACTCTGGTTTGCTAGTGCCTGCTTGGCAGACTTTGGAGAAAGATCCAGGTTCCTGTGATAGCATTTTCCCTAAAGAGAAAAAAAAAAAAAAAATCCCTGCTAGGGGGTGGGGTGGGCTAGAAATTAAAGCCCACCTTGGAACCAGTGGGGCACCAGTCATCAACCTGTATGGTACATTTAGTCGTGGTGATATAACGGCTGCATTTAGTTTTTCAGATGCCACAGCTGGGGAATAGCATTCAGAACAGGCCACGTACTTGCCTTAAAAATGTCACACCTGACTATCTGATTGGACAAAGCAGGGGCTGGTGATCTAACATAAACATGCTTGCTCAAGGTTAAGTGGTTAGTGGGTCACCAAAAGGAAGTGGATTTGGAAATAGGGCACCAGGTTGTCCTGGAACGTTGGGAGATCTGCTCTCAGACATTTTCAATACATTGTTTCTCAGCTCCTAAAACAGAGTGGACACACAGCAGGCACACAGTAGATAAGGATGGATGAAAAATTCTTCTCTACCTACAGGTCTTCCAACTGGACTAAGAATTAAATTTACATGAGACAGACTGGCAGGAGAAAAAAAATCCAACATTTTATTACAGAGGCCAAATCATGAAATTGAGGCCTAAAGAAATGACCAAAGCAGGAAGGTTTTATACTTTCCAGACGGAGACAACAGATCTGCGAAGAATTGACAGGATATAGAAAACCTAACTTTGGAAGCTTCAATTAGTAAGGAATTCTAAACAGAATGTGGGCTGGGGTAGTAAATTAGTAAAAAGTAGCAAGGGTTGTTTATAAAGCCTTCTTGGCTCTACATTTCTGGTGATAAGGATGGCTCCTTATCTCCTGATACAAAGAGGGTACCTTTCACGTGGCGATTGATTTCCTGTTTTCAGGGGACAGAGGAGGGTCTGAGTGTCCTTCCTACACAGGTGGTCTCTTAAGTAACGTATTTGAAATAATCAACACGCCAAAGTAGCACATTTGGGGCAGCGTGCCCTCGGCCCCTGCAATACGGACAGGTGTAATCACAATCCCAGACAGTATCTGATGGCTACAGGCTTGAAAACAGCTCAGGCATGTTTACATCTACGTTAGTGATTCCCCGTCAAGAGCTCCACTGACTCTACACCCCTCCAGTGTGTCCAGAGCGCGGGGCTAAGCGGAGTTGCTGGTTCTGGCAGCGCCTGGACCGGTCCCTGCACGGCAGTGATTCCCGACGGAGCGTCCCGAGTCACCCTTTCCCCTTACCTACCCACCTGGAGGGAAGGGCTGGCGGAAGGCCAGAGTCCCCTCCATTTCTGCAGTTCCGTGCGCCTTTGCAGCATCTATCGGATACTATCTTGGCTCTTCCAGGGAAGGTGACGCGCCTCAGTCCCAAGGCACTGACAGAATGCCTGCCCAGTGCCCAGCACGGACAGTTAATACCAGCGTTTGATGCATTCACAAAGTCATTACTGAAAGCGGTTACTACCAGACGCTGCCAGGCGAGCCTCACCAGCGCTTCTGTGGACAGCCCCGCCCAGCGCCCATCCCGGGTCACACCGGACCGGGGGACGCATGCGCAGCTGGTGGGTGTAGGCGGGGATGGCCGGGCGCGCGCTCGCGCGCGGCCGCGTCGTGTGAGTGGGAGGGCGACGCATGCGCGGGCGGCGGTGGCCTTAAGGGCGGCGGCAGCGCCGGGTGTCTCAGTCGGCCAGTCAGCCGGCTGGGAGGCGCGGTCCGGCGCTCGCGCGGCGACGACGACGACGACGGCTATGGCGGCGGAGGAGGAGGAGGTGGACTCGGCGGACACCTGCGAGAGGTGAGTGCGGCGGGGACTTCGTGGGGTTCGGGAACGCGCCCCCCGCGAGGGCCGGGACCGGGCCGGGCGACATCACAGAGGACTCGCACCCCGCCTGGTCTCTCCGTCGTCCGGCCCGGCGTGAGACCGCGCTGCGCCCCGAGGAGACGCCCCGGCCTAGCTGTGCCCCTGGAGGGCGCCCATCGGCGCCGACCCGGCTGCGCCGGAGGCCGCTGGACCCCCCGCACCGAGAGGCCGCCGCGATGCGGCGTAAGCGTCCCTGCGGCGCTGGCGGCGGGGTGGCCCGGCACCCACACAACCGGGCCCGTCGGCCTGGGTGTCTCCTCTGACCCCGCCTGCCCGAGGGCGGCCGGCGGGCGGTGACCGGCCGTCCCCGCACCTGCCTCGCGCCGCGGGAAACGACTGTGGCTCTCCGCTCGCTTGGGACTGCCGTTCCGCCTGGAGGTGCGGTCGGGACTGAGCCTCCGGAGCCGGGAGGAAGGGGCGGTGCTTCCCTGGGGCCGTCGGAGGAGCACCCACGGTTTCCCGAGGAGCTGCGGGAGGTGGCGGGGGTCGGGGGCCGAGGGGAGGAGCCCAGCGAGGGAGAGCGGCTTGGGGGCGTGGCTACATGGCTGGGTTTCCGGAAGCGTTTAATTCGTCGATACTTAGGAGAAAGTTAACAGGTAGCGAGGTCAAAATTAACAGCCTTTCTTTTTTTTTTTTTTAAGTTTATTTATTTTTGAGACAGAGAGAGACAGAGTATGAACGGGGGAGGGGCAGAGAGAGAGGGAGACACAGAATCCGAAACAGGCTCCAGGCTCCGAGCTGTCAGCACGGAGCCCGGCGCGGGGCTCGAACTCACAAAACCACAAGATCGTGACCTGAGCCGAAGTCGGACGCTCAACCGACTGAGCCACCCGGGCGCCCCCAAAATTAACAACCTTTCAAGCAGGGGTCTTTGCTTCTGAGTGTCGTGGCCTTGCCGGAGGCGTGCGTGCGCGCGTCCGAGGACGTGCGTCTGTAGAAAACTTCGTGGAAGTGGAGGGAGGGCAGATGTCCAGCGTGAAACCCGATCAGTGAGCATAGTAAGTTTTCCACCTGTAACGAACTTCATGCCCTTGACCGCAATTAATTCGCGGAAAAATTAAATTACGAATATTATTGCTGTCTATTTCAAGGGTAGTACTTTCTTTTGGAAAATAAACTTTTGTGCTTACCTACACACACACACACACACACACACACACACACATATATACATATATATATATATATTTTTTTTAAGTTTACTTATTTATTTTGAAAGAATGAGAGAGAGCGCAGGGGAGGGGCAAAGGCGGGGGGTGGAGAGAGAGAACCCCAGGCCGGCTCTGGCTGTCAGCACAGAGCTGGACACAGGGCTGGAGCCCACGAACCCTGAGATCCCGACCTGAGCCAGGAGTCCGAGGCTTAACCAACTGAGCCCCCCGGGGCCCCATCCCTATATATATATTTACTATTTTGATAGCAGTTCTGCTTCAGATGTCTAGACAAAGTTGCATGCGACACGTAACCTAAAAGAAGATCACGTGGAGTACCGTGAAGACAGGTGTATTTGGAAAGATGCGGGTGGGGGGCAGTTTTGAATATTAGAAACTGGGTTCTTCCCACGAAGTGCGTTTACAGTATCAGTGGGCCCGTTGTTTTGGTTTGTTGATGAACTTCCTGTTGAGGTAAGATGCGGCATGCCCTCACGTGGACACGAGTAGGAGCCTGATTGGTAGCTTGATCCCCTCTAGTTTGTTGCAACATTTCTTGCTCCTTCTGAAACTGTGTTTAGGTGGACTTTCTGGTCTCCGTGTTGTGGTGGGGCCTGAGACTCTAGGACAGGACTGTGAAAGGAATTGGCGGCTGGGGCGATGTCCGCAGATCAGTGGGCACAGACTCTGAAGAATCGTAGGGAGCTGACCAGCCACAGTCCCACACAGAAGCGGGCCTCCTGGGTACTCCTGGCGCTGTACTTGAGCAGGGTCCAGTGTCCAGACTAGGGTGGCCTTCTGAACTTTGCCAAGCAGGCGATCAACCACCTGCTCCTGCTAGGCGTTGCCTGAACGTGCTCATATTCAAGCTAAGGTAAACCCTGTGTGCGCAGTATTACTGTTCGTTTTTCATTTGGAACTGCACCTGAGAGGGGGACCGGCACCCCATTAGCAAGCGGCAGAGCTGGGTTGGGGCCCAGGTGTCTTGACTTAGTTTAAACCACGTTTCTGCTGCCTCTCAGTGGGACTGGGACTCAGGCAGGAGCTTGGTTCTTGTTTCTTTTGCTCTACTGACACTTTGTTATTTAATCCTTGCATTGACGCCCAGAACTGTCCCAAGAGCCAGTGTTGGTTGCCGGGAAAACACAAATCTTGGATGGAGTTTTCTAAGGCATTTCAGGTTTAGATGGAGAATGGACATTAACAAAGGAAACAACCATAAAATGGTTTAGGAAGGCTTTTTTGGCGCTTAACGATTCTTGGTTTTTTTCTGTGACTTACATAGGTAGCCATGCCTGGACACCCTTTGGCTTTCAACATCTAACCCCTTTCCTTGCAATGTAGTTGAGAAAGCTAAACGTAACAGGAGCGGGGTGGACTTCTGCGAATTGCTGCACGGGTCTCACACAGAATGATTATGTGTCAGTGGAGTTGAGTTGAGGGGAAAACCGCCCCGGAGTGGCTCAGCTGCAGGGTGGACAGAACAGGTGGTTTGCAGTGGTGTGTTGGAGCCGCCCTGTGCCGGCAGCTTTTGGCAGCTTGAAATCAGCCATGGTGGCAGTATTCACGCCACGGAAACCATCACATGCTGTAAATACAGGATTGTTTTTTCTCCCTCTCTCCTCCAGTGGGTTTACCAGCCTCCTGTTGGATTTACATCAGAATTTGACTGTAGTTCTTTGCCGTGCAGATAGGATAGTGGATTTCTCTATCTTTTAAAACGCTGCTAAGATCAGTGACTTCTCTCCGTTGCCATCTCCCTTTCCCAAATCCTTGCCACCCAGCTTCTTAAAAATCATAACATTTCTGCATGACACATCCCAGTGGGTTTTTATTTTTCTGGGTACTTAATCTTTCTGAGGTCTTGAGTTTTCAGTGTTTGAAATTCTTACCAGACCTTGTAGCTCTTAAGACATTTTGCTTTGTGCCTTACCTCAGACCAGTAGTCACTTTTATTAGGTTCTTTTCTTTTCCCCGTTCTTTATTTAAAAAAAAAATTATTGTTTATTTATTTTTGAGAGACACAGAGGCAGAGCGTGAGTGGGGGAGGGGCGGAGAGAAAGGGAGACACGGAATCTGAGCTGTCAGCACAGAGCCCGACGTGGGGCTCGAACTCACAAACCACGAGATCGTGACCTGAGCCGAAGTCGGATGTTCAGCGAACTGAGTCAGCCAGGCGCTCCTTTCCCGTTCTTTAAATGTCGTAATTCTCCAAGACCGTCTCTTCATCTTTCATCTTTGGTCTTGTAGTTCCACTCATCCTTGACGTGTCTCTTTTGTGGAGAGAACCGAGATGTCAGCCTCATGCTGGTGCCCTCTTCCGTGTTCTAGTGATGTTTCTAACTGTGTGCCAGATGCTTGCAACTCATTCCTTAAGTGTAACGTGTCCAGACTAGGATCTCATTTTCACCTTTCTTCCCCTGAACTAAACAACACCGAAAGTCCGGTTCTTCTCCTTGACTTCCTTATTTTCCTTAGGGCGCTTCCGTGCTCCTGGTCATCCGGATTCAGAACTGTGGCCTGGTCTTTGACTGCCCCCTTCCATCCATCTTCTTTGCCCTGAATACCAGATCTACCAAGCCCAGCCGATTGCAAGTACATCCGCTTTCCGTTTCCAGTGTCACTGGGGAACCACCTGGCCTAAATCCTTCTTACTCCCTTTCCCGGATCATAGCAGGCTTTAGCAACACGTTTTGTTCCTATGCTTTCAACATAGCTTATTTCATTAGTTACTTTTATCTCCCCAGCAGACACCGTCTTGTTTGCAGTGTAGCCACACACAGTGGCTTTATTACAACTACTCAGCCTGACTTCAAGCCCTTTGCAACAGTGTGGCTCTTATATGTCTTTGGAGTCTTATTTCCTCCTGTTGCTCTGGGCTCTCGTCTTTGGTTGTTTCCTAAACCTGTTCCTTACCTCTGTTTCCTCCCTTGGCTTGGTTCACACTGTTGTCTGTGACCCAAAACAGATTGGAGTCTCCCTTCCCTAAAGGTCTGTGGTGTTTTCCTTGATGGTGCTTCTACCCTGTTTTCTAGTATAGTTGTCTTGTATATTTGTTTTGTCAGCTCATTGAGGACAAACCTTTGTCACACTCAGATGTCTGGTAGAGCCTGATGGGGTTTTGTAAATAGTAAGCTTCAATTAATGTTTATTGAATTAAATACTTCAATATTATGAACTTATGCCGACACAAACATTAAGAAAAAAACCCTAGTAATTGATTTTATATTTTGCAGATTTATAACTTGATGTTTTTACATCTTAAGATATTCAAAGAACCTCAAAAGATACATTCATAAGAATTCAAAGTTTGAATTTGACTAGGATAACAATAAGATCCTGAACTTGAGTTATATTGAGGAGGTTGGGAATATGGTTCTATTTCTTGACCTTGGACGAACCAACTCATACTTCATTGTTTTGCCTGTTCTCCAAAATGCCAGTCACAGACCAGCAAATGGAGATTTTAGTGCTGTGACAAAGAATTTAACAAAAGATTGTGCAGTCCCAGGATGGTCCGCTTAATAAAAACAACACTGGATAGTACGTTTGAGAATTACAGATGACTCTGAACGGAGTCACCTGTAATTCCCCACCCCTGGTTGTGAATCAGAAAGAATTGTGCGGCAAGATGATTTTATTAAAGTTATTATTGGGGCACCTGGGTGGCTCAGTCGGCTGAGCAGCTGACTTGGGCTCAGGCCATGATCTTGCAGTTCACGAGTTTAAGCCCTGAGTCAGGCTCTTTGCTGACAGCTCGGAGCCTGGAGCCTGCTTCGGATT